ACGACAACGGCAACGCGGCGGCGGCCGGGGGCGCGGCCGGGGGCGCGGGGGCGCGCGCGGCCGACGTGCACAACGACAACGTGCCGCGCGCGGCGTCGCCTGCGTCGCTGCGGCGCCTGCGCGCGCAGTTCACGTGCTCCATCAAGTGAGCCGTGCGCGCGTTGCGCCGGTCCTGGCGTTGTCTTGTATTATACGCGTCCGTTCTTCGTCTAGAGTTTGCTTTATTTGTTGTTAGACTATATCTCTCTCTAGGACCAATGGTGGAGCATATCTTTCTTTGTAATTGTCGTCGTGTACTCGGTGTATAGTATCGTGTCGCCTAGTGTGGCCGCTGCCCACTTATTCATTCCATGCGCCTGCAACGACCAGCTCACTCGCCCATCCTCTGACTTCTGAGCTGTGTGGGATGCAGACTGATAAATATTTCAATGCCCTAAGAAACTCTTTATGCCGTAAGTATTTACGTCCACGTCCCGTCGTCGGAAGCAATTTGTCGGCCGCGAATTCAAGTTATTCACGTACAGTTTGCGACTGCTTTTGTATACCTACCAATGATGTATTATATATGTACATCGCACAAAATAGCAGCAGATTGACTTGATTAGTGGCGCTTACAAAAGTCTACAGCATAGGTCACTGACCATCATGATCTGTAAGTAGGACGTGTCGTCTGTACGGGCTGAGTGTAACGAGAAGACTGAATGACGTGCCCGCGCAGTGCACCTCGACTGTGACGGTCCACTTTACCTGCCGTCGTAACATGGCAACATTTTGTCGAAGTAAGTACGTGCGTAGTGGATTTTCTCATTATTCTATGGTTATTACCATCATTATTACTTTTAATTAGGTGTTAGGTTCCTATGTGTACTTGCAAAAAGTTAATGTATGTTATGTAAGTTTGGTTGAAAGCGTGAAATAATGAGAAAATATACTATGGTGCGTGCCAGGTATTACAATTATTGATACATAAGGTAGTAACTTTACAATTCTATTTCAGCTACAAAATATTTACTTCGATTTGATGTAAATATTATTTCTAATAGTTATAATTATATAATACGTAACATGCAAGTGATGCAAGTATGCGGGTGGTGATAATGATAATACAACTAATTGTCGTACCAGGGACCTCAGGGCTAATTTTGTAGGAAATTAGTTGTATTATCACCTCCCGAGAGGAATATGTTGAATTGCAAGTCATCCTGTGAGTATACATATACCAAATATTTATGAATGATACGGTTGGCAGGCCTACTTCCGAAAATTCGCGTGAGAGCGTATGTTATTGGCTCATGTTGACATGCTCTAAACAAGTCATGCCTGTAAAAAGTCAGCAGCTAGATTTAAGTGCATGTTCAGTACTGGAAAGCGAGTTGAGTAGAGGTACTAGTTTGTAACGGTAATGGCACTAATGGCAGACGTTGGGCGTCTAGCTATTCATTAAACGTTCACTATTGAGGAGTAGCAATCTACACGAGGCCTACATCTGACCGAGCCATTACATTGAACATGTTGAGATATAGGTAACACACGCTGACGTTATGCCTCCCGACCTGCTTACTATGAAACATGAGGTAGGTGCCGAGCGATTCAGGGATGTAGGTATAATTATATTATTTGGTTTTTGTATGTTATGCATTTATACTTGCACTGCGCGCCGTGCGCCCTCTGCCGGAACTATTACTGATGGGTACAATGGAATGGTGGAATTAAATATGTACCTACCTATATCTGTTTGTAAGGAAATATATCTTGTTAAAATTATGTATGTTTGTTTTGTTCACCCCTCCTCTAGTCTTGTACAACTAGGAGCTGCGCCATTGAGACCGTTTCGAACGGCCGTGTTGATTTCACGACACAGGCAGTCGTACATTACATAACTTAACAAAACCACATAGGTAGGGTGATTTTTTGTTTGTTTTAGACTCGATTTTTCAACGGTGGCTAAAGTAGCTAAGAAATATCAGAGGTATAATTATATTATTTTATACTTAAGGGGATACTTTCATACTTAAGGGGATGAGCAGCGTGATGTAAATAAGAAGGCGAATAACGATCTGTGTCATTTATTTTAAATCACGGTTTATATACAATTTGTACAAAAATATTACAAAATACTAGGCAGGCTTAGGCATTAGGCATACTAGGCGTACATACAAAAACTTAATTCTAGTTTGATAGTGGTGTCTGTACAACACTTTACCAAATAACTGTAGATTTTTCCTAACATACATGATGTTTTCATAGATAAATTGACATGGAACGGTCATAATGTTGATCTCTTTAAACCTCTCTCTGAGAGATTCGCGACGACCTAGGTTGTAGATAGCTCTGACGGTGTGCTTTTCTATACTAATGTTATACCTCGAAAGACTTGTACCTATTTTTGTATGTTTATAATGAATAGGCTCAAAAAGTACTGGGCCGATTTAAAAAATTCTTTCACCAATAGAATGCTACATTCTTCCAATTTGACATAGACTACATTTCATTTTGAAAAAAAAAAAAAAATAGGGATTCTTGGTAAAATATGAACAATGTAACCGAAGGTGTAGAAAAATGAGTCTTATAATGTCTTTCGTCGAATGCGCTGCCGAAACTATTAGCGATAGGACAAAATAATGTACAACAATATTGAAGAACATCATAATGTCTACAAAAAACTCCGCGGGAGCATATGTCCAACTATTGTAGTTATGTTACTACAACAATCCGAATTTCCAAAAATAAATAATTGTCTACCCGTGCGAAGCCGGGACGGGCTGCTAGTGTAAGATAAAGATAGACTCAATGTCAGCAGCGTGTCCCCACAGCAGAATGCCATACGACATAATGCTATGAAAGTAACTAAAGTACACTAGTCTTGCCGTGCCTATGTCGGTCAACTGTCGGATCTTCCAGACAGCATAAGCTGCAGAGCTCAATCGTCCCGCTAAAGATGTAGTATGAGGACCCCATTGCAGTTTGTCGTCTACAGTAATTCCCAGAAAAGTAGTCTCTTTTACAAATTCTAACTTCTCATCATTCAATAATATGTCACAATCGCTGCTTTTAACATTTGGCAAAACAAATGTAATACATTTTGTCTTTTTATCGTTTAATACTAAATTATTTATGTAGACCAATTTTGAACCATATAATAAAATATAATTCATTTTGAACCTTCATTTACTCGTTATTTACGTCGTCATAATTATTTGTCCGTCTATTTATTTTAAAAACCAATGAAATGTCATCAGCAAATGAAACCATATGTGGTTCATTTTTAAATAAATGGGGTAAGTCATTTATGTATGTTAAAAATAAGAATGGACCCAGTATCGAGCCCTGCGGTACACCCATAGATATGCTAACACCCTGTGAGTTTATTTGTACTTTGAGTTGCCTATTCTAAAGGTATGATTTTAATAGATTTAGTGATACTCCTCGAATGCCATAGTGTTCCAGTTTTAGCAATAAGGTCTCATGCTCAACACAGTCAAACGCCTTCGATAGGTCACAATATATGCCAATGGCATCATGTGTCTCTTCCCACGAAGCGAAAATCCGCTTAATTAGCGCTACTCCCGCGTTAGTAGTGCAGCGACCTTTGGTGAACCCGTATTGTTGATCATGGAAAATACCATTAATGTTAAAGGGACGTAACATCTGGGTAAGCATTAGTCTTTCAAAAACTTTGCTGAGAACTGGTAAAATAGAGACCGGCCTATAGTTATTGGGTTCTGCACTGCCACCGGATTTAAACAATGGAATCACATTACTATGTTTCATTAAATCCGGGAAAATTCCTTGATCTATACCTTTATTAAAGATGAAAGCCCTATGAGGTGCTATAGTTTCTACAAAGACCGACACATCCTAACCGACATTCCCCAGAGATCTTCAGTCGATTTAACTTCGAGTTCGATTAATCTCCGAGTTTATGATAAGTACCAGTTCTATTTTGATGATCATGAGTGTCATAAATGCGAAACTTTGCTTTCGTTCGCATAACTTTGTAACTAATTAATGACCTACAGACTTGAGATTTTGGTTTTAAGTATGTGATTGTAGCTTACCGGATGATGTAAATTTCTGCAAGTCGTGCAAGTCTTAGCCAGAGGTTCTCAAACAGGGGCCTGAAAATGTTGCGAAATGGTTCCAGTAAAGGATGGTACGGCAGTGTTTGCTTCGCGCTCGACTTGGTACTTCATTTATCGAGAAAGGTTTATATATACGGTAGAAAACATCAGGCTACGATGAATAGGAGCCGACAGCGGAGTAAGCCGCGCGGATGTAACTAGTAGGCAAACATTTGTTTTAGAAATTTGAATCTGGATGAAAACAAGAATCACCTTTTCGTGAAGTAGCTGGCAGGAGGCAGGAGGTACTGAAATAAAATGTTTTATTTTTCGATCTTTTATTGAAAACGTTAAAACTTTGACATAATTTAGTTTTGTTGAAAACCGTAACATGACATTTTATTAAATTAACAAAAATGTATAGTTTGGACAACAGCGTCGACTGTCGGGCGGCGACGACGTGTCCCCGCCCCAGTCAGTGCTTCACAAACAGCTCCAACAGCGATATATTTGTCATCTATTACAACACAGTCTGTATCCGATTACATTACGGCCGCGACCGGAGCGACCTCTTACAAATACAATAATCTCAAACCTTCTACCTTAACTTACTTAATACCAATAACATCTATTTAATTAGTTATAAAAAGTAGTTCAAAATGACAAAGTTGGCGTGATGCACTAGGCCCCAGCACTACAGCACTAACCTACGGCGGCGGGGCTGGCCGCCCTCCGTCCCGCACCGGCTACATCTAACGTGCCGCAGTGTTTCACTACATCTAAATATTACACTTCACTACTTAAATCTTGGCACAAAAGTAAAACTTCTACGTTTTAATCAGCTTTAACGAAGACGAAGGATCGTTCGACGTTCAAACAATATAATAAAAGGGAAATATCAATCAAAGGCCGATTTTTCCAACGCTAGTTAAATTTTATTAGAGGAATAACTTCGAACATTTGAAAAGAATTTATAGTTCTTGGAGAACTTTTCGCTTATAAAAATGGATAGAAATAACAACAGGCGTAGGTATCAACGAGGCAATTACAAGTCCTCGTTTAGTATTTGGAATGAATTAACTAATATGGTGTGAATACCTACTATACAAAGTTATATATATTCTGAGTAAATGGAAGAGGGAAATACAGAAACACAGACCGTGCAGACAATATGATTACAAACACAGAAAGAAACAAAGAAAACTATGTATCGATTGCTGCTTAATTAAATTGAGACTTGAGCACCTCTTAGCTGAGTTCACACTAGTTGTAAACGGATCGATCGAATACAAATACTGTTATAGTATCGGAGGCCTCAGTACAAGTTTGTTTCGCGTTTAAAGTATTCGAAACGAGTATGCGTTCGGCGCTGATTGGTTGCTTCATTGGTGCGGCCAATCAGAGGCCAATCACAGCGCCGAGCGAGGTCTCGTTTCGAATACTTTGTCTCTCTGTTTGCAGGTACAATGTCACTGTTCTGCCGATAGTTACACGAGGAACGGGATAAGTGGATTTTTGATAATAGTTCTGGTCTCTCCACATTGCCATTGAGAACATTCAACAAGAATAAACAATCTGCAGTGTCATTGCCATTGGTAACTGATGGAATTTGCTACAGAGTAATTTAAGTAATATATTTTTATATAAAAATGAATTCCAATTTCCCTTGGTCACATTGGTGACTTCTAACCTATCAGTACTAATAATAGTTATTTTATCTTTTTAGTTTTTGTTTGTTTTTAGCTATGGGTTTTTTGAAGTCTGTTATTTAAACGTTTTTTTTTTATTTCATATTTTTTAGGGTAAAGCTACATGTACCCGTTTTTCCACGTATAATCTACATAAGTGCAAAAGTTATAATACAAATTATACAAACCCTAACACAAGGTAGGTAGTTACTATATAACATTGAGGAGTTCACTCAACAATTACACTTTTTTATCATCAGACCCCTAATGACAGTCCCACTCCATATAGGCGTAAAGTTCTCATCAATTTAAATTAATTAAGCCATAACACGAGGTAGTTACTATAAACCGTTGAGGACTTCCCTCGACTATCTTTCGGCTCCGTCATCAGATCGACTCCAGACCTATGTCAAAATGTACAGGTTTAAACTCGTCGGGACAAAGTGTTCGAGTGCACCATCCCTCGCACTCTATTAGGTACAGTACTACGCTTACATATTAACACTACGAATACTCGATTAAGTACCTACGCAGACAGGTACGCAGCTAGCTCATAAGACATGATCACAAATATCATTCGCCAGCAGTCAGCGCGCCGACAGCATGGGGGGGGGGAGACTAAGGCACTGATACGATGACATGACGCGGACCGCACGAGCTGAGCGCCTCGACTCCTCCGTCACCTACTTGTAGTGCTGCGGCTGAACTGTGTATGTGGCCACTACTGTCGCCTCGGAAGCTAACGAACGAATTAATTCCTTGACGTTACTTCTCGCTCTGTTGTAGTGACAGCAGACCGACAGGTGTCCAAACACTGCGCGGCAAGAGCGCGGCACCAACACGCAACATTACTACGACACATTTCTGCCGCACTCGAGTAATTTTTGTGGCATAAGCCGGTAAACGAGCAGGCGGATCACCTGATGGTAAGCAATCGGCGTCGCGCATGGACTCGTGGTATCACTCCGGTCGAGCCGGCCCATTCGTGCCGAAGCATGGCTCTCCCACACTTTATTGTTTAGAGAACAGACAGTGAAGTTCCCTAAGAAAAGGAGGATGCTCCGACAAGGCGAGGTGACCATGCCTGGCATGCTTCCTGCCCGACAACAAGTTAAGACAAAGCCGACAATATTTGTGCGGCACAATCAAGCAGGACTCCACATACATAGACGGTGACAATTCCGCAAAAATACAAAATGTGGTCTACACCACGACGACGCTCGACGTCGTAGCTGCGTGTCAGTTCATCCTTCGCAATCGATAGATATAAACAAGATGACTGTCGACGCAGCGCATCACCCTACCTACCGCTACCTCTCTAGTCCGTCGACCCGTTGAAAGACACGCAATGGTGCCGTCAGCCGACTATAGAAGCGAAACACTGTACATTTGTTTGTTACTCCTTCTGAATGGTTTGAAATAGGTGAAGATTATGGTCTGAAATAACACATAGGCCATTTATCCTAAGAGATGCGGGCGATCCCGCGGACAAAAGCTAATGAAAAGTATATTGAAGCAACGCTGCGCCCTGGACCTTAACGACGCGCCGTCGTGACGGACCAATCGATACGACGCCGCTACAGTTGGTGTCAGGACTAAAGCAGTGGCGTGTGTCATAGTTCGTATTATTAAGAGAATCTATATATACATGGGTTTAGTTGTCCAGTCCGTGCTCAGAAATACGTCTATACAGTAACAGAATTTATCTAAGAATGTCCGTGACCGCGGGCAGCTGGGAGCGTCCAGTGCCGCGCCATGCGTGGACACTCCCTTACTGGGACTACACTACACTGGTGGCTGGCTTCTTCACACAGATTAGGATACCATCTCTGTAAACCATATAATGGCTAGTCCTAGTTATTACATGTACAGAATACGTCGAAACATCCGGCCTGGGTCCCTGTACTGGCTGCACTGGCACAATAACATCTACTTCAAAGCAACACACAACTTGCGCTCACTTTGTAAACGGATTATCCTAGCAGTAATCGACGAACTCGACAGTCTGACAGCTCTGTCAATTAATTCCAATTTCTTAAACTAGTTACATCCAAAGAAAAAGATTTATTTAACATTTAATTCACGCACAATCTTAATGAATTAATTGGCCATATTAATGGGACGTAATAAGTGTTTCAGACCCACAAATGAAGTCATTACAAGTTGTTCACATCGCAAATGACTCTTGACAACAGATTCAATTGTTGCATCGACAAGTCTTTGACAACCTGGATGTCAGCGGTTGAATGAAGATACAGTCCGAAACAAAACTGAGCTTCAGTACCGAGGGGACGAACAGGCGGGGGCGCGCGCTCCCCCCTCCCATAGAGCGGGGGCGCGGGGGCGCGTCACACCAGCACGTCCATGCGCGAGCCCCGGCGCAGTAGGCGCGCGCCGCCCCCCTCGCCGAGCGCGTGGAACGACAGCGTCACCAACTGCTGGCCGAAGTTGGCCTCGAACCTGCGACACACGGAGTAGTAAGGCAGGGAGCGCGCGGCCGCCCCGCCCCGCGCGACACTCACTCCGTGGCGATGTTGACGTGCGGCGGCGCGCCCACCGCGTTCTGCACCACCAGGAACAGCTTCGTGGCCAGCTCCAGCACGTGCACCGTCCGCACCACCACGTCGCCGCGCCGGCGCCACGCCGCCTCGCCCTGGACATACGTACTGTACACACCACGCCGCCTCGCCCTGGACATACGTACTGTACACACCACGCCGCCTCGCCCTGGACATACGTACTGT